TATTTAAACATGTGAAATAATTTCACCGTATTATATAACTTGGGTGTTTTACATTTTTTGGAATAAAAAATAAACTTGCTATAATAAAATTCTGGGTTACTAATGTGCAAGAGGGTGGTGGGTGCAGTAAAATTCCTTTCTGCACATTCCACAGTACATTCTGTTGTTTTCTTAAATCCACAAATAGAGCTGAATGTATCTTGAGGGATGAACCCCAGTTTCAGTAAGAAAATACCTGAGTTCTGGTTTAATTTTTGAAGAAAACTAAGAGCTTTAGGACTCTTTATAATTTCTGTTGCTCAACACTATTCATCTGAGAAGCAAAGACAGAGGAGAGAATTTTTCCTGTTTGCAGGATTGATTGATAAAGTGAAGAGTTATGGAATGGATTTTTCAGATAGAAGGACCTTAAGAGAAAGAACCAGCAAGCATGTGAAACATTTATTGTGGGCTATAGGAACATGGACAGTCAGAAAGCTCAGTAGATATTATCCAAGTTGCTTCTGATTTTCCATCACCTTCACTGATTGGAATGTCAAGCCACAGATCAGGGCAATGGTTGAGGGTAGGAATCTTAAGGGCTTTTAAAGTAAAAAGACTTAGAATAGATTCCTAACACAGATTTCAAACCTCAAATGTGTTTCTGGGTGCTGAAACTCATTCCCCTAACACCTCTGTCCCTGGCTGCTGCTACTCACTTTAATAGACTCTTTATGCTCATGTAGGATGGATTGCATGGACAGAGAAATTAAAATTTACTTCCTGAGAAGACAGAAGTATCATATAACCTATCTGATTAACTGTGTGTTACTCCAGAATTACCCTCTCCTTTATTTAATGGATCCTGGCTTGCATGTCTGAAAAATTGTAATGTACCACTTCATGAGTTGCTCATTCTTAGAAGTCCTGTTGATTCCTTCAAGGGCTTCTCCAGGAGTTAGTGGAGGATCTACACTGATTTATACAAGCTGAGTCTCCCCATGCATATTTGCTTTGAGAGTTATGTCAGTTTTTGGGAGGTCTTACAACTGTTAGTACTTAAAACTGGAGTTCATAAATTCTTTATTATATTTTACTTCTCAACCATTATTATAACAATCCAGTGTTAAGAGCTGCAGATGAAACAGCAACTGCTATTTCTTGCAATTGTTTTCATTTTGCAGATCTAGTGTCCTACAGAACACTATAAAATGTTTTTAACTTCTAGAGAATCAGAAAAGCGTTAAAAACTTACTTCCAGAATTTAGGTGGATGGGTAGCACTCCAGACCTCCTACTGGTCAAATAATACATACTAACTATTCCTGATGTTAATAGACGAATACCAGAGGGACTCCATTGATTTCAGTGAAGTCGTTTAGCTAAAGATGACCTATGTTCATTAAAATAACAGAAAATTGCATAATAGATTTTTTTCTTTCCTACAGTCACTTTGTTACTGCAAGGTGGTTCATCCTACAGAACTGGGATCCAAACCCTGAGTATCTCACTGCTCTTGAATCTTGACTTTCAGTTCAAGCTGTTTAAAATTTACTCCATGAAATCCCGCTCTTAATTGAAGTTTGCATTTCAAATATTTGCAGAGTTTGTGTGCATTTCTTAATGTCTTTTAATAAATGAGTGCCAGTGCCTTCATATGTCTCGCACTGGTGCCAACAAAGAGCAGTTGTTAGTATTCCCTAAGTACATTCAGAAAATATGAAGGGGTGGCTTGCAGTTTGTGTGTAGAGGTTTAAATGAAGAAAGAGCTCTGTGAATATCAAAGAGAACTGGAGGGGAATAAAAGATTTTGGAGCTGAAAACAGCATCTTTTCCCTTGTGCTCTTCTATTTTTGTCATCAATACACGCACATATTAGTTTTGCAGGTAAATTAAAAACAAGTGTAAAAATGTTATTTCAGAACTATAAGAATTTCTGTATTTGCAAGTTCTGAATGATAGTCTTCACTGCAGCATGTGTGTTCCTGGATATATGAAAAGAGAGAATTTGGTACAGATACAATGTGGAAGTAGTTGTGAATGAGTCGTCTTATCTGGATTTTTTATTTGTATATAGAGTATTCAAAAGTATTCCTTGAGTTAGTTTTCACAGGAAGGGAGGTTTTTCCTCAGTATGGGAGCCATTCCAGACAAGGCACACATTTCTGTCTCTTATTCAAGGCTGGCAGAAATGGCAAAGTTCCTGATACCTAATCCTTTTGGTCCTGTGTTCTCTGAACAATCCGGAAATCTTTGACAGCTCAAGTAATAGTATTTTGATGATGCCTAGTGAAAGGTTTTTGTTCTAACACTGGGCTATTCTTGCAAATGTTTCACCTTTCACTGTGTCCTGGTTTTGTCTGGGACAGAGTAAATTGTCTTCTCAGTAACGAGTGAGTGAGTGAGTGAGTGAGTGAGTGAGTGAGTGGTTGTGTGCTACTTGGTACTCAGTTGCCACCTGGGGTTCAGTCACTCTGGACTGCTGATGGGTGTGTATTCTTGTATAACCCAAGTATCCTTTTCCCTGAGCTTCTTCCTATGCACTGGGGACCCAAAGGGATTTTAAATCTCTTCTGTGTTAGTGCAGCCTAAAGGGGAACTCATTAGGCTTTGAACATTTGCTGATATACAGCTCCTGCAGCTGTGTCCTTCCTACCAGTTGAGTTCCTGCTTCTTGCTGATGCCCTGCTAGGTGAGCTCTGCCTGGCTGGGTGTGTGTGAGTGCAGGGAACTGTTCCCAGAGTGGGCTGCAGCTCCCAGCCATACTCGGGTTACTGTCTCACTCTCCCGAACACTGAGCATTTCCTACTTTCCTACATCTGAGATTGTCTGTGGAAATCTCTATTCTTCCCACAGATACCCCAGACCTGTAAAATTGACTTTGGCCCTTTGGAATTTCCCCTGGACTCTTTCTGGAGCAGTAATTGTCATGCTTTTATAGCTGCTGCCCAGTGGATAATTTCCCAAGATGTGTGGCTTGTAAGTCTTGTACTGCGAGGCAGAAACACGGAGCTAATCCCCTCCTTTACTAAACAAGATAGACCTGGCTGCTAATTCTTCTCTTGATATTTGGGGTAGTGGTGAACATAAATCCCATTAGCATTAATAACACTGAAATGTATAAATCCCTGCTATGCCACTGGGAGCATTGATTTCTCAGTTTCTCTAACCTCCCTGCTTCACTATGATCTTGAAGCTTCTCTTCAGCTTGCCCACCTGCAACCTCCCAACCTATACCTTGTGTATTTCTGTGATGTCCTTTCTTGGGATTTGACAACCACTGTGAATTATTCTGCCTTCATTTTGCAGACCTTTGTATTCTCAGGTTTTTGTACTGTTTGAGTAAACTCTATTTAATCTTTTAATCTCTATCTCCATTTGCACATTTAGGCATCTTTTATGATTGTAACTTTATTAAAATGTTATTGTAATATGATTCAATAATACAGTGAAGACATCATCTATCTACTCAGAAATGGGTAGCCCAGTTCTGTGCCAGATGTATTCTGACAGGGCCATCACTCAGCAGTGCCCTGGTTACATCCTCTTGTTCAGGGCCTGGTCATCTGGGCCTATTTCATGTCTCTTACTTGCAGTAGTTCCTAATGTTTTCTGTTGTCCATCTGTATGTTTGATTGTTGGTTTTTTCCCTCCTAAGTCTGCTCTCCGGCTTCCTTATCAAAACACCTCATCTATGTTATACATTAAATATAAGCAAAGATGAGACAATGTAAAAATTCAATTATTCTTCCTCTTTTTGAATTTACCACACAAGTCTAGTGTATATTGTTGCATGATAATTTAAACAGTCATCAGTAGCTAGAGACAGAAAACCATAAAACTATAATGAATGGGTTTTTTGAGCATCTTGAGGTTGAAAATCATCACATACAACAATCTTTGCTAATAGTGTTCTTTTAGAAGCTCAACAAGGCTTGCAAACCTCTTTCCAAGAAGCTCAGTGTCTCAAATTGTTTGAACTCAAAAGATTTCACTTCTCATCAGGTCCTGTTTTGCACTTTTGTTTAAGTTCTGTGTTTGCAAAAGGAGGTGGCTGCCAGTTTTGCTAGTCCTGAAATCCTTAAAATCATGTTTGCACAGTGTGTCACAGCACTTTGTAAGGCTGAGTTATCTGAAAGTTACAACTTGTCCTTTTTTCATAAATAGTGTCTCAGATATTGGAAAATCTGAACAAAGCTATCAGCTATATATGCAGAGCCTAAAAGCACCAATGGAAGTTTTCCACAGATGCATACTGGTGCTAAAAAGAGACACTTCTGAACTGGGGGTCTATTTCATTGAAAGGACAGAGGACATCCTGGCTGTATTTAAACAGCTTCTTTTGAAAAAGGAAAGTACTGAGAAGAGAGAAGTAGGGGGAAACCAGTTTCAGCATTTAGATTTTTAGATCAAGTACCTTGCTGTTGATGGCAAGTATGCTTAAATGGCATAAAAGTCATTTAAGTGGCCATTGCTGAGTTCTCCAAATCTCTTAGAAAATGAGGGAGGAAGGGTGGTTAATTGGAGTGATATAAAACCAATTTCTAGCTTTTCTGATGTTTATTTTTTGGAAGAAGAGAAACACAACAGCTTTTTTCATTCATTCTGCAATGCAGTCTCATTGTTTATGCAGGAACAGCATATATGGTTGTGTGTGATGATGATAAAACTATACAGGCTGTAAAATGGCAGAGCCTGGAAAACCATCAAAGGAATGTGAAAAAAAAATCAAGCTACCCAACCAATATGATATGTCCAAAAGGAGACTTAAAAGATCTTCAGAGTCACATTTTGCATATTTTTATCCTTTGTATCTCTGTTTTTTCTGTTTTATTTACATTTTATGCAATCTCATATTTTTCTTTCCCCTTATCATAATGTTTTTAAATACAGTTGCTTCATGGTTAGATGGAAGGCCGGAACCAATTTCCATTGCTGTTTCTTGTGGGTGTCTGTAGATTGAAGTCAGCAAAACCTTCCTCATTCCAGCAGCATTGACTGATTCAATTTCGATGCATCTCTTTTCCATGTATGAACTGTATCACCAATATGCAGAAGGTCAGCTCACTACAGCAAGGAATATTAACAGTGCATTTCAATTCTTTTTTGTGTTTTGCATCTAAATGACAAAATTGCTGTTGATGCATCACTTCATAGTCATATCTAATGTGTTTTCTTGGAGTTACATCTAACTTGAAGGTTATTTGTCTCTGTTAGCAAATATTAAACAATCAGTGGTAGCTTTCCCTGCCCACCTTTCCCTCCCCAACTGCAAGTTCATACTAAAAGCATCCTTATTAACTCAGCACATAAACCCAGCACTTCAATTCTTGCTGATCAGTGATATTCATATCAAGTTTGTGAGCAAGTGATAAAAAATCCAAATGGAACTTCTGTGGTATGCAAAACCCACTCATATTTGAAGAACTGCTCTGAAGAGAAGCCATGGATTGTCAAAGAGGGACTGCTGAATGCTCTCTGTCAGCCCAGCAGCAGCCTTCTTCTTGAAAAAAGAACCCCAAGTAGTGCAGTGGAGACACTGAGCAAGCTGCAATATGGAGTTTTCACTGCCATTCTACAGCGCTTTGTAAATCAATTAAAAGTAGAAAGCAGTCTAATCTCTCAGTTCTAAAATATCTTGAGGTATTTTTTGCCACATCTTCCCTGATTGTTCTATAGAAAACTGGATATAACTGTGCCATGCTGGGGGAAAAATAAAAGCCTACAAGTTTTCTCCAGGGTATTTCAAAGACCTAATCCTAATATCAGATTGAAAAAGCTCTGCTCTACAATTTTAATGTTTTGAAATGTAAATTGAGTCATTGGCATAATTTAACTTTATCTGATTACTAATATTATAATAAGGAATTTGAGAAAATTTACAATTAAATTTCTTTACATCTTTCTTTCAGAATAGCCATTTCTTTCAGAATATTGTTCCTTTAAATATCCTTAATTATCAATAGTAAAAAGTGGACCTTCCTGAACATTACAGACTGTCTCAACAGCTGTGAAATAATAGTAGTTTTTGCATTGTTTTGCAATGAAAAAGTGGCTCATAGTTTTATTGCAAGTAGTTCATTTAAAGAAAAAACACTTGTATTATGAAAACGCTTGTTCTTTTTACTTGGGTCTCTATAGGTTTTTTATCTCTTCAATCATTTTCATTTACTTCTTTAGCAAAAATACATATCCCAATGGCTTAGAACATACTTTTTTGTTCTTCACTTCTTACATTGTAACTTCTGTCCTTTTGTTTTATCTGTTTGTTTTTCTTGTATGTCACATATTAATTTTATTGAAAAAGAGCACATCTTTGTAATGAGTTATATCTGATTTCACTCACACCTAATATCACCTTGTGTTTACTCCAACATTCACATTTAAAGACAATGAATCTGCTTCACTTTTGTTCTATAAATAGAGAAGCTAAATCTTAATTATTTTTTCTGTCTGTATTTAGCCATGCATATGAATGTTACTGATCACTATATATGTACTATTGAATTTAGTTTTAACCCCAAATTGTATTCTTCACAATAAATACCACGTCTGAAATAATTAACTTGTTTTTATACGGACACATGTCAAATGCTGAGACACCTGTCTTATTGATCTTGGTTTCTTTCAGTCCAGAATTTCTGATTGATGACACTATGTTAGAGCTATGCAAGCTTATATTTTCCTTTTATGCTTTCCTTATTCAGGCTGGATTCCCAAAGATAACATGCAAGTGTCAGGCATGAAATTTTACAATCCTCCTGTATTCCTTTCTTCATGAATTTGTAGCATGCTATAAAAGCCAAGCTGCTTAAAAGGATTTTATATTTTAGCCAAGCTTTCACCTCCTAAGTGTATAAACCTTTATAAATATATCCTTAAATTTACAGTTAAAAACAGTTCATAATAAGAAAACTATCTACATTTTCCCTCCGTAGCAATGTTACAACTTCCTTTAAAATAAAATAAATTGCTTTGAGAGGAATTTTTGAAAACAAAGTCTAGAAGAAATGGCACTACATCAAGCTAAATAAATCTGTCTAAAAATACTTAAAGCAGTCTAATATTACATTAAAGATTCTGTTTAACTCCAAACAAGAGCATCTAGTGTTTCAGTGGAAAGTCTTCCAGAATCCTCTGTAGCAAAGCGAGCAAAAGCTTGCAAGATCCTTTGAAATTTTTATTCATATGAAAAGAGGAATGTTGGGTCAGGGAAATTTCACCTGAACAGAGTAAGGGTGTTGTTCTGGGCTGCAGCACTTTATGTATGTAGAAGTGCAGTTCATATACCCTGTTAGAAGGGGGGTTTGGTGAACCAGTAGCTTATTTTGTAGCTTTTCAACATGTGGAATTTGTGGAACAGCTGCAGTCAAAACATGCCAATTTGACAAGCCAAGGTAATACATCATCAATAATTCTCTGGAGAATAAAGGGTGTTGTTGGATTTTCCCCTCAGATATTTCAAGATATTCTTATCATTTCTGAGCTGGGCTAAGTCCTGGGTAAGTCATGCATGGCATTATGCCTGTGCTGTGAAATGCACTTTGCACCCTGCTGGGAACAACATTGATGTCCTGGGTACTACAAAGGACAGGTGATGCAGAAAACAGGATTGGACTGAAACTGCATGAGAACAATGGGCAGGGGTTTAAAATGTCACACCTTGGTAAATTTGTTTAGTTTTATATGTTTCTACTCTAGCAATTTAATGATATGCCTGTTTATATTAGGTATAGATAAGAACTTTCTGGAGAAATTCTGATCCTCCCTACTTAATCCTTCTCCCACTTCTGCCTTCAGAGCTTTTTTTATTATTCCCTTCTTCTGGAAAAGAAATACTTGCTACTTCATACTTCTCATTACATCCAATAAAACATTCTTTTTTCAGTCTTCCCTGCAGAGTTTCTTTGCCAGTGGGTACTGTACTACACCCACCTTTGCCTAAACTGCTGGCACCAGCTTCTGCAGAGCTTGAGGACAGATGGTATATTTTATCTGGTTTTTGTGTGTTCTCAGAACCCTTTATGGGCCTCTGTAAAGTTAATAAAATCTTTATTATTAATATTGCATTGGTTTTACCCTCTTTCTGACCAGAAGAATATTGCAAAAGGTTTTTTTCTGGTTTTGGTGCTATTGGAATCAGGGGATTACAGAAAAACCAAAATGATTTTATGAGAATTATTTAGGTGTTTACCTTTTTTATAATTTTCTTCATTTCTTGGCTTTTGCTCCCGCTCAGGCAGATTTTTCATTTTAATCGGATTGCTCTACCCATCCCAATTATGTTTTGTGCTTTGCATTGTGTCTCTTAGCAGCACCTCATTCCAGGAGAGGATAACTGGGAACCAGATATCTGAAAATGGAAAAGCTTAACAATAAGCAGCTAATGCATTGGGTCTGGATGCTTCCTAGGAGCCCCAGGGAAACTGGCCAAAGCACAGGTCCAGCAGAAGTTGAATACATCATTTTATGTCCCAGGGTAAGGTCCCCAGGAAGCTTAAGTCATTCTTAGACTATGTATAGCTTTTATCCAATGACAGAGGGGATTATTTTTGCACAGACCTCTTTTGCCTTGCATGGAAGGAGGAAAAACTGCTTCCTGTGGTCAGAACAGTATTGTGCTTTTATATGGAAAGCAAGCTATTTACTTTTTCTGGCATTATTTCCTTTTCCTCTGAGGAACTTACATTTTATAGAGACAGCAGTCAACAAGGAGGCCATGCTGCTCCCCAGTTTGCTGCCATTAACAAAATCAAGGGCAGCAATGGTTCAGGGCCTCTGAACAGACAGCTCTTCACTCTTGCAGTCCAAATGAATTGTGAAAGCAGAGTCTAGCTTAGTCTCCATGGAGAAAGATGGCAAATTGTGTATTCTTGCACAACATATGTTTAGACGTTCTTTATTCCTTTCTCTATCAGGCTTTTTCCTTCCATCTATGACCTCAAGCAGGCTGCTCCTTTGTCTCAAACCACCATTTGGCTACATGCTCACTCTCCTTCCTTCAAAGCACCTGCTTTGATCTCCTTCAGCAGAGTGCCAGCAAAGCTGACAAAGGCAGAGGTTTGCCTTTTCATGTGCTTGCTAGATTGTTAGTCAAGAGCAGCAGAGAAACACTGTGCAGGCTGTCAATGCAGTTTAAAAAATCATATTATTCTAAGTTGCCACAGAGGGCTTGTTCAGTGGAGCAGAAGTCCTCCAAGAACCAGTTCTCTGGGGCTGTTCTCCTCTCACGTCAGAGGAAGACATTGCTAAGGCTTCCCCCACAAATGTTGCAGAGTATATAATTAGCCTGCAACAAAAATTAGGGTATAAAATTTAGAGCAATTTTCTTAGGAAAGCTGCTCTAAATAAAGCAGTTATTGCCAGTTCAATGAAGTTCCACTCTGTTTAACTTATCACAAAAATATCAGTTTTTGTATTTGACAGTTTCTATAAGGAGAAATTATTTTCTGAGGGCCACCTCATGCTCTTCTATCCAGCTTACAGAAGACCCCTCTTAGCATCTTCTGCCAAATTGAAGAAGGCAAAGAGTTAGCCACCTCTTTGTATTAATATTTTTTAGTATAACATCTGCCCCTCTTGGTTTTCACTCTGTGATCAAAATTCCCTCAGTTCTGAGTAAAAGCTGAGTAAGGACCTTGGGGGATTGCCTGTGGGTACTTGGAGACTGCTGGCATCAGGCTGGAGTGAGTTGCTGTGAGATGAGCTCGTTCCCTGGTATTTCCCCCTGTCAGAGCCACAGATGTGCTTCATTTCATTAGGTGTAGCTGTGGGCATACTGCCATCCACTCTGCTGCTGCCTTATCCCACTACTGCTGAAGGCCAAATAATCATAATCATTTCAAGTTGATAGCACAGTATGTTTCCCCAGGGAATGCTATTCAAATTAAATCAGTCATACCAACAATAATTTTATAATTATATAAAGGGAGCCCTCTACTTCAGTAATTTTTCTGAAAAAAAATTGTGCATCCTATCAAATGGTTATTGCATCTTTCAGAGTCTTTTCTCCCCACAAATCTTGATACTCTGCCTTCTTTTATGTGAAAAAAATTATTATTCTGATA